AACACTGTTAAGATAACAGGCTGACTAGTTTTTCAGTCTACATCCTCACAATTGAGTGTATGAACATTTTAGCTCAATTGTTTAAACTAAACCTATTAATATGTAGCTTATCATCTGTTTTAAAACATTATACTGTACAATACACAGTTTAATCCTTTTTACTGATTCTTTTTTATTGTCATTCAGTGTAACATTAAAAATTATGTATGATATTTAAAACATTTAATATAGCAGCAACAGCTATATGCTATATAAAGATATAGTGGTTTCTTGAGCAGTGAATGATGTGCTGCATTTTAGTACCTCCATTTCCAAATGAGCACAGCAACTGAAACTGATGTTTTGGTTGATTGTGGGTGATTGTTGTTGGTGAACAGTGGAAAGACTAACAAAGGTGGTTTTATTTTGTTTCTGTCTATCGTTTTTTGTCTATGGAGTCTGGTCACTATTGATATTATGTCTGTTTCTGGTTAAACAGAAGTTCTGTCTTTGTAGGGAAAAACATTCTTTGGACGTACTTTGATGGGCGCATTTGTCCCCAAGGATTAGCTAATGTTTTATGTGTCAGCCATAGCATCCAGTTTTGTAGATATTTTCTTATCTAACTCTATTAATGGTTTATTTCGACCAAACCAAAGTTGGGGATTGTTGGAACAGTGGAAAGATGAACAGAGACGGTTTTGGTTCAAAACATTTGTTTCTGCCCAGTTTGAAGTGTGTTTTCCGATTAACTGCTACTGTTTTTGTCAATGGAGTGTGGTCAGCTGTAGTGCCCATTATTTTGGTCTGTGATGCTGGTGCTGTAGTGTGACTTCTAGTGGCAAGTGAATTTCATATATATTACCCTTAATAATACATCAACATGTAAACAGTATTTTGATTTGAACAACTTTTTGGTAGTTTTAATTTAGTAATACATTGATGAGCATTAGTGACATGTAGTAAACCAGCCCAGTATGTGAATGTAAAAGGAGAAAAAAATTTAAATAGTCAATAAAATCAAATCAAAGAAAAAGAGAAGTTATGTATAACTGTATATAGCACATTTAAAGCAGCAGCTTCATAAGGTCAAAACATTTGACTACAATGCTGCCAGCTTTTCTGGGTGTATGACTGTGTATGTGTGACCTGTCAGGCACTAAGACCCAGGGGCCTTCCTCCTGATGCCCTCCGGGAGCACAGCAGGATTGAATGACAATAAACTGGATGAGATACCGGATGTGCCGAATCTGACCCCAACGGAAAGACTGAAATAGACACTGCAGACCAGCAAGTCCAGGCAGGGGGGAGAGGCGGGAGAGAACAAGGGGGGAGGGAGGGAAAGAGGAAGGAAAGAGGCAGTGAATGAGTGAGGGATGGTGATACTAATAACGATAAAAAGGAAAGTGGTGGAGCCAGATGTAGAGCGAGAGATAAGAAAGTCAAAACAAACAGTTAAGAAAAGCTGTGTGTGTGTGTGTGTGAGAAAGATAGAGAGAGAGAGAGCTAGGGAGGAAGTAGGAGTCATTTTTGGATATAATTTCACAACACATTTACACAGATTGAATAAAACCAGATTGTCAACAATCCACTTGACCTATTAGGCTAAATCAAAAACAATAATGATAAGACCTTCATTTCTCTCATTCATCCACCCTGGCCTCCTCCACGTCACCTGAGTAAATCCGGTCACCTGGCCACTAAATGTCTTACAATAAACTTAACTATGGGTCATAAAAAGCTGCCCTCACAAATGACCTATACAGCCATTTTTCTGGTGAGGACGGGCTGGTTTAATCTTCATCTATCATCTTATCTTCACTGAAGTAAAAATTCACATGAAGTTGGAAAATAAATCAGTAAGGCTACTATTGTAACTTAATTGGTGTTGTATTTTTCCACAAAGGGTGTTCTTACTGAATTTGTTCCATGTGCAATGATGAGGGATTTATGATATTTTGGTGAAAATTAAAATTACTAGTGACAAGCAGGAAGTAGAAGTCAAACAGGCACCAACAAAGTGGAGGCGGGTGTCCTGATAATTTACAAAGCAGTGTTTGCCACAGTTCTGCTAACACAGCGCTGCCACAGTGCTTTGGTGTTACAGGTGGATTTAAGTCGACTGAATCCTTGAAGCAGGTCCTTTCATGCTGGAAAATATATTTCTCTCATTTTTTGTGCAAGGAGACTAAAATCATCAACTGTCATTTCAGGAGCTAAAGGTGCAAAGTCAAAAGTTTGGCAGCAGTTTTTTGATGAAAGTCCCTGAAACTTCACTTGAGCTTGATTTTGCCAAGTGTCATTTGACCTACAGGCTGATTTTGTTCACTTTACTTTCCATGAATGAGTAACTACTGGCTGCTGCTGACAACAACTGTCTCTGTATTTTCATAATTTCTTATATTATAAGATTGAGGCTTCCTGAATTTCTATTACAGTGCTGCTATTTTGTTTTAATCCAAATTAAAGTAGAAAGGAGATCTCCGCCAGGTGTGTCTGGGGCCATGTGGCTGGGGAATAGGGAGTGCAGAGCATGTTGTTTGTCCAGCATGTATTTTCAAGTGAAAATGCCAACAAAAGAATCTGCCAACACTAACTTTACGGCCATGTACGTTATATCAGCAACAAGATTTCAAGGTGTTGATCACTTGCAGTTCCTACACATAGCAGTCATTAAAATAGTTTTAGTAAAATGTAGTATTTCATTTCATTTCAGTAGGACTGCTGGTCGGATAAAAAAAAAAATATTTAATTTACAGTCATATTAACCCTAACCCTAACCACAGCAGCAAATATATTTGTGAAGCTGGAACAAGCAGATGTTTTGCTTGAAAAATGACAATTATCAGACTTGCCTGTCGACCAAATAATCAAACATTCAACTAAGCAATTAGATTAACTTCCAATTGGAAAACAATAGATTTAATTTAGACTTCAGTGGGTTTTACAGTTTTTCTTGTGACATCTTGTGGCCTTTTTGAGGAACTACACCTAAAGACATTAGCACACATTCTGAGTTGATTGTGGCTTTTCTGTTTCTAAGCACTAATTGCAGCACTTTGACATATTCTGTCGGATATTGTTTTCTAATTTAAAATTTGAAGTAAAATTTTCTTTACTTTCTGTGCAGCAGCAATGGTTGACAAGACATTGTTTGTGTAAGTGCAAATGCTAAAGCTTCTATGAACTGTAATTACGGTCTGACCTATATTAGTTTACTGTATTTCTGAAAATGTCAAGCATTATTACTTTCAAAAAGATTACCAATCTTTTTCTTCCATGCTTCTTTTCTTTTTTACAAAGCTTTTTTTACTGTGAATATTGTCTCCTACAAGTTTGTGGTTCGACAGTGCATTAGTCAGTGCATTAGTTCCTCTGCTGTGGCATAAAAATCCCTCCTTCTCCATTCATCCCCTCCCTCTCTCCGTCCCTCTTACCATCCATCCATTTCATCATTCATTCATCTATCCGCCATATTCCTCCACTCCACATATGCTGTCCCCTCCCTACCGTCCATCCATCCATCCCTGGTCAATCGCTCCGCCTAACCGCTCATCTCATCCCATTCACTTTCTTTCTCTCTCTTTCTCCCTCCCCCCATCAGTCCATCCCATCATTTGCTCATCCACCCGCCCCTCCAGTCCCACCCCAGCGGAGATGGGTATTGACATTCTGCATCCGACCTTGAGGACAATCAATCCCATACCCCACATGTCCCCATCACAGTTACGCACACATGCACACACACACACAATCTGCTGAAACACACTGAGACTAATGCTAACATGCAGCCTAACAATCAGTTAATATGAATATTTCACTCTGTTTCATTTGGGAGGATCGTTTAAAAATGCTCTCTCTCACACATCCCACTGATTCAAAAGAGTCAGTTTGAAGTCACCAAAAGTCGGTAAAAGATAAATGACATGTTACTGTCAAGATGACTAATTCACCTTCACTTCTAATAAAACAATAACTTGGACCAATCTGTCCACCAGGGGCAAAGGAGGTTACGGTCTACATGCTTGCAACTTCACCATCCACAGGCCCACACACACATCGCAATATTTAACTGTCATACAGTAGTATTTAACTGTAGTACACACACAGTACAGTAAAAAGATGAGAAGTAATTTGTATTTATGAAGCGGAGACATTGGTTGAGTTTAAACATGATAAAAAATGAAACAAAAACCATCCTTTCGCCGCTCTTTCTTCACCCAGTGGCCAAGACGAGAGATGGAAAACAAGCATGGACCGAATAAATCTGAGTAGGATTTGATCTGTTTAAACAAGTCACCAGCTGCATAGTTGAATACCAATAAAATGGTGACAAGATATTTATGAGGCACCTTACTGCAGTTGATTTTAATTACTTGTGTTAAGGCGTGAAACAATTCTGTCCTCCTCCCATGTGGCTGCAGACCAAGCAGGTAAAACCAAGTGAAAACAGTTTAGCAAAATAACGCTTTTTTTGGGGGGTTTTTTGGTTCATTTTAGACCAGATCTTGTGTTTAGACATAAAAGTAGATCTTGGCTTGATCTCACAAGAAATGTCTGCTTATTTGTGAGATGTATAGCTGCACATTTTCTTGAAAAGGAGAAAGTAAACCTGACTGATAAAGAAAGCCAAAACACTGAACTAGAACTGAAAAAATCTCTGTCAGTTTTCCATATAAACCCCTGTAAGTTTTCTTTTAATATGCCTTTAAGAACTTTTAGTTCATGTCTTTTAGTTCATGTCATGCATCACTGCTAACACATTCCCATTAAATTTCTGCCGTTGTAGGTATGATTCTGCAGGGAAATCTGTATCTCTCTCTACAATAGCTGCCTTAAAGTAAAAATCTTGAAATTGAATCCTGTTCCAAGATGCAAAGGATGTGTGCAAAGCTGCACAACTCTTGAATAATTTGTTATTTCATCAAAAATTCCCAATGGAACTTTTTCATTCCAAGGTCACGCAAATCATCAATAGTTCATCAGCAGATCGGATGGCGACAGGATGAATTTATGCTTACCTCTGATTGGAGGGAGATCCATTCTGCAGCGGCGTGCTGGGCGTCCTGAGTGTCCGTGTGCGTGTTCCGCTGACAAATAAACTATGATAGTCGTATAATATCCCTACAATATCCCTTAAATGAGTTGTAGTATGACTGTGGAACAAAGTGATTATATGTACTTTTGTGGTTTTTTTTTTAATGTAATGTTTTAATCTTTACTTTATGTTACTTCAGGAGTGTTAGTTTGCTAAAATACTTATATGATGTCCCTCTATGGTAATTTTCTGAGATTGCTGTGTCTGCGTTGTCTTAAGGGTGTGTGTTTGTATGGAGTGAGAAGGCTGGGAGGATGCTCTTCTCCTCAGGGTGACGCACCCTCCTCCTCCTCTTCCCGGAGCTCTTCCAGGAGCGGTCTGATCCCGGTGCGTCCTCCTGAAGTCACCTCCTCCTACACCTCCCTAAAACAACCAACCAGTCCCTTCTACGCACACTGCATCGAAGGACTTCACTCTCTCTGTCCAAGTTGTAAAGACATTCAAGTTGCAAGAGATGCTTATAAAAACATGCAGCTTTTATGCAGTTTCAAGAAAGAGAGAGAAAAGTGTCCTCAGTTGCAGGAGGAGAAGAAGTGGAAGTATCTCCACCCCACAGTCGAAGGAGCGATGTGAAATACTTGCAGCAGCTTGCAGAGTATTTGGGGTGTTGTTAATGATAATGAAAAGGAAAACTGCAGCTGGAGGAGGCTTGTCAAGTCAGAGATTGAACGCAGAAGTTAAAAAAAAATCATCCTTTTTTTCGCTCAAAAACTGTTTCTTTTCCCGTCCTGCTGTAGTTTCCTCTCCTCTCCCCAAGAGATGAATGACTGAGATCTGGATGCACTCTCTCTCTCCCTCTCTCTCTCTCTCTCTCTCTCCTTCTCTCTCTCCCTGTCTCTCTCTCACACACACACAGGCATACAGGCACACACTCCAGTCACCCCTCCTCCTCCCCTCCTCTCTCGCTCACTCCTCTGTGTCTACCCCCTCCCTCTCCCATCACTGAATTCAATTCAATTCAGTTCTGCTTTATGAACATGACGGGGCAGAAGCCAATCGTTGATCCTTTTTAGGTGTCATTGTTTTAATGGATGACTTAAACGTGATACTGTCAATTTCTTTTACTTTCAGCTCAAACCCGTTTGTTTTATTTGAAGCTTGACCAGAGTTTTCACTGGTAACACTGGTACCATATAATGGAATCCAGTTAAAAGCCTTTACACAGAAAGATTTTAAATAGTTTTGTCATTTGACATTATATCAGAGAAGTGTTGATTCATTGTGATGCTCTGGATTATATTGGAAGAAATGGTCCACAGTTCCAAATTATATTCACTTTAACTGGATCAGGCTTTACAGTTTTTCTTTTGTTCTCTTTCTGATCCCTAGATCAGTGCCTGGTCTAACCAGAAAGTGGCGATATATCTACAAAATAATAATTTAAAAAATAGAAGGTGGCTATTTGAGAGTATAAATGGCAAGCTGGCTGCTAACATGCTACTGCTAGCTAGCCACAATAGTCCGCCAAATTAGCTGGCTAACTGCCAGATAGAAAGATGTAGTCACTAACTGGTCAATAAGTTAAAACAAGCTGAATCAATGTATCTACTTAGTGCACTATATTTTCGCACAATGCTTTGGGAGTAAAGGATTACATGTGACTGAGTTACATAATGAGGTTACAAAAAAAGTAACTGTACACACTAGTTACTGTGTCACACCAGTTATTGAAAAAAAGATATGATCAGATTACTGTAGGAAAGAAAAAAGTCAGTCTTTACTGACTTCCTGCAGACTCCTGCTGATTCACTGCTACAGCTCCTTATTTTCATTTTCATTTTTATTGGACCTAAAAGCTCAAATAGTCAGAATACAAAGACTCATTGAAAAGGATTTAAAATAATATATTATTTTAAAGCCAGTGTAATGACCAGCTGACATGACCTGTAATCCTGACTGTGGCCTGGACATGACACCTTTCAGCGAAGGCGATTCAGTGTTGATGATTTTTATGACCAAAACCTCATTTTACTGTTCACCACCAAACCATTTCAGTGTTGTAGGCAATAGAATGAGTGAACAAGGCAGTGATTTCAAACACAGCATCACTTTATTCAGTTCAGTTTATTGTATTTATCCTGTCTCACAACTGAGTCGTGGAACAGTTGTAATGTGAAAACTGCAAACCATTTGTTGTTGGTTTTTGTAAAATTCTGAATTACTACGCTTTCAAACATTGTTTTGGCAAGACTGTAGCCATGGTCATACCAAAAGATAAAAGGGGGAGAGAGGAGATATTCATTCATTCATTCGTTCCATAAGGACAAGTGACATCACTGACAATATGCTGCATGACTGTAATATGAACCTCTTCCTTTGTTTGTGTGGTTTTGTGTGTGTGTGTTGGTCTGGGGTGGTGGTGTGTTGTGTGTGTGTGTGTGTGTGTCTGTAGAGACGAGGGAGGGACGATGTGGTGGGTGTTGGTGAGTGTGGTGTGGAGAGGAGAGAGAGAGGAGAGAGAGAGAGAGAGTAGGAGAGAGTGAGTGTGAGCTCAGAGTGCCGTTTGTGTATGTGCTTTTGTGCGTCTTTTTGTCTGCTTGCCCTTACTCAGCAACTTGCCCAACCATCCGATGGAGAGCCAAGACATACCAGCTGTAGGCATACAAATGTGGCACGTACACGCACATGCACATGCACACACACACACACAGACACAGACACACACACACACTAAAGTAACCGGACACTGGTCCCTAATGGGGGTGGGGGGAGCTCTGTTTCCTGTTGAGGAAAATATCTGAGATGAAACAAACTGCTGATAGAGATGCTGAGGGGTAATAAAGACAAAGAAAATGTGATTATCTAATAGAAATCAAAACTTGTGTTTTTAATTTTTTTTTATCTTACAAGGGCTAAAGAGTGTTTTTGTATATAACTTTTTTTTACAAAAAACAAAACACCCACATGGTAATTGGGTAAAAAAGTAACAAAAAGTACTAAAAGTTATAAACTAGCATTCATGTGACTTTATTTTTTTGTATGTTTGTTTGATTTGATGGGTAACAAAGACAGCTTAGATACAAAAGCAGTTTCCCACAATGAAAATGTCTCATTTCAAATGCTCTTCCAAATGCAGCCATCTTTTGTCCTTAGGAAGACACAACTTTGTCTATGTCCTTTACAGCCCTCAGTGTCCACAATCCATTCTGTGTTGATCTGTTGTTTAATGGAACATTCAGTGACCCTCGCCAATTTGTAAAGTTGACTGTTAGCGGCCTGGACATGTTAATCACAGAGTATTACAAAAACATTTAAACTATAATACTTTCTCTAAATGAGGTTTGGGAGGATCATCACAGCTTGCCTATCGTGGCTTTTATTTACACTTCATTCACACTTGCTTCTCGGTGATAATGTTACCTTGAAAATTCCCCCAATGATGCCCTAGCAATCATCCTGCAGGTTAAAGGTGGATCTACTAGATGGATTGGCACAGAATTTCATGGTTCCCAGAACATGTCTCTGACGACTTTGGTGAACACCTGTCTCAACAACTGTTACAGTGTAGGCCTATTGTTATATAGTATAGGTTGCCATTAGGTTTATTACATTGACATTCATGTCAGGATGAACTGTAATAAATTTGATTTAGCGCCAGCATCAGGTTAAAATTATAATTGCCCTCAACTGTACTTACTCGTTGCTGCTAATGACCGAATGCATGCCAACGCCCTCAACTACAATGGCGAACATAGTAAACATTATACCTGTGCCTTGTATCAGCATGTTAACTCATTGTGAACATGTTAGCATGCTGATGTTAGCATTTAGCTCTAAACCACTGCACCTAAGAACAGTCTCACAGTAGATTCTTATTCTGGTTTGACGAGGGCTACCTTACTGAGCTATGAAGCAGACACACGGAACACAAAGCAACCACCTAGCAAGCACCCAATGATGCCCAACAGCTACAAAACAACTTAAAAACCGAGACCAAGAAAATGTTTATACAGAGACTATTATTTCAAAATATATATCTTATTAATTCATTGACATTTTTTAATGTTTTTTTAATATTATTTTACATATTATGTTTAAAGATTATATCCTGATACTACTGATCTCTGTTTCTGGATTTATACTATATGTCTATGTCTCTGTATTGAGTATGTGCATGCTGGTGACGACAACACAAACATACACACAGAGTACAAAGTGCATTAATCTTAGTGTAAAAAAATTCCCTTATTTCCTCACTGAAATGAAACTTGCATGCCAATTAAGCAAAAACAAATGGAGATGAGTGTATGTATGTGTGTGTGTGTGTGTGTGTGTGTGCATGTGAGAGAGAGGGAGAGATGGAGATATGTTCTGGGTCAGGCAGGGATCAATGTCAAATGGCCTGGTTAACAGCATACAGCTGACAAAGTCATTCATTTCTGCCGGCGCTCCTCTCTGGACGCACTCTTCCCGCATGTGTGTGTGTGTCTCTGTATGATCTGGTTGTGTCATCGTCCTGCAGTAACAAATGCCTGCTGGATGGGGAGGAGGCGTCCCACCCATGAAGCACATGGGTGTCAACTTACACAACACATTACAGTATGTCTCTCACGTGAGCAACACTGCACAAACCTTTGCACACACACACACACACACACACACACTTGCCTTTCACTGGATGCTTTTATCTGAAGTACCCGGCTGAACAGTCTGACATGAAGTGAGGGGAAGTTTCTCCTCACTTTATTTGCCCTGAGGTTAGACTTAAAACTGTGCAGACGGCAGGTTCGATGAATTGATGTGACACGACTGACCAGCTGCAGATTGAGTTAAGTGGTTTAGGTGAAAATGTGTAGAATTGTTGAACTTGATCGATTTAAATATCTGAATCCTGAATTTCAGGTTTACTGTGTGTAGGTCAACTCATGGAGTCCCCCCACCCCCAAAAGGAGGGAAACTGGGTGGAGCTGAGGTGGGACTACATTACATTACTAGCAAGTAACACCATGGTAAAATCCTCTTACTAAAGGTTTCATTACAGAAATTATGATGAATAATGCAGAAATAATGCATGATAGATGTGTAATAGAGGAAGATATTGGATATGCAGGAAGTGAGAAGTGCCACAATCAGCATTCCATTATTTCCTTTAGCTCTGTTATTTTATGTATCCGGATACCTTTTAGAGTTCATTGTCACAGTTATATAGAAAAACTGACTTCATCATTTTTAGCCATGATGGTGGTTGGTCACTCAGTCGGTCGGTCAGTCTACTGACTTTGGTGATCCCCTGACTTTCTTTTTACCACCAGCAGGTTAACATTTTTGTTTTTTTGTGAAATATCTTGACATCTAGTGGATGGATTGCCATGGAATTTGTTACAGGTAGTTACGGTGGCCAAATATCTCAACGTCTACGGGTTGGATTGGCACAACATTTGATACACTCATGGTTCCCAAAGGATGAATCCTAATGACTTTGATGGATCACTGACTTTTCCACTAGCGCCACCATCAATTTAAATTTGTCCAGTACATTTAAGGTATTTAGTTTGAATTTTGAAGTTAATGATATTTGCTTTATCCTCAACTACTTTTGGTTCTGTACATTAGCACAAGTAAGCATGCTAGCATGCTAAACTAAGATGGATAATATTTTGCCTAGCACCAGTATGTTGGCATTGTTACTGTGACCATGTTAAAATCTTCATGTTAGTATTTATCTTATTTTGCCAATCCATCGCAGAGAATTGTTGTAATACAAAAGCATTGGGAACACTCCTTGCATTGCCCTTTGATGGGTAAATGTGGCAGATTTTTGGATTTACAAGATCATTTCGTAATTGTACTACTTTTCAGATTGTTTCAGAAAG